TATATATATATATATATCTATATGTATGTATATAGTTTACATTATATTTCATATCTTGAAATAGAAAAAAGCAACATTAACTTCTTTTATAGATTGTCAGTATTATAATTCACCTGAATTGCAACGATACAAATCAATGCGTTCAAAGGGCTTTTGTCCATCTTTTCGTCTATCATTGTCGTAATGGAAGTTACGCTTATATTATATTGTTTTAAAACATTATCACATATTTCCATACTACGTGCGAAGATGGAAAATTTTAGTAAATGTTGACCTGCATATTAAAGTTTAGAATTTATATTATAACAATTAAACATTAGAATTTGTTGTATTGCTATAATATAAATATATTATAGCAATTAAACAAAGTTACCTAGTTCAAACCATTGAGAGCCCACTCCAGAAAATATAAACCAAATAGATTTTTGATCGTTTCTATAAGCCTGAATTTCTTTTATCAAACACTGTTGCATTTTATTCAGTACAATATATCCTCTCCATGGATGACCGTCTATATTATAAGCATAAATGTCATGGAGTAAACGAATATACTCCACGTCTAACTGATAATTTGCGATCTACAAGTAATTTTTCAAACAAATATTTTGCACAGATTTTAATACAAGATATACATGCACACAACTTCTGCTTGATTAAACATACCGTGTTTATGGATTGCATGTACTTACATCTTTCAAAAACGACTGCACTGATTCTTCGGTGCGCCCAGAGATAGTAACAAGTCTCGGCAAGTCATCATTTGGTAGACCGTTAGTAATCTTTCTTTTAGGATTCCATTTTAATAATAAGTGACTATTGGCTCCTCCAAATCCGAACGAGTTTATGCCTATGTAACCGTTTGTAAGACGCGTTGATTCCGTAACAACACGTATAGTTCCATTTCTGAGAGATTCTATTTCCTGTCGTGGTGATGTAAAGTTGATCGTTGGTGGAATAAAGCCAGTTTCCATTGCGATTATCGCCTTTAAAAGTGTTATAACGATATAAGTTTCAATCTTTTTTCGAAAATTGATTTGTTTATTAATGTGATTTAAAGTTACGATTTATTTTGTCTTTTCTACTTTTACAAAGCTTTTTCTCTATATTATAGATATAAAACATTTTGTTTCTTTACCTTGACTATCTGATTCATACCGCTGGCTGCTTCGGTATGACCAAGATTGGATTTTATGGATCCGATTAATAACGGATTTTTTCTGTTTTTGCAAAAAACATTAGAGAGAGCACTAAGTTCGGCCGGATCACCAGCTTTCGTACCGGTACCGTGTGCTTCAACGTATTCCACATTAGTTGGCAATATCCCGCATTCTGTATAAAAGTCAGTTAATAACTGTGTTTGCATACATTCCGATGGGTACGTTATTCCTTCCTGTTTAAATCCGTCACTGTTCAGTTTTATATGTTTGCATAAAGCATAAATTCTTTTCGCGTTTTTTGCCTTTTGAAGATATAATACCGATATTGATTCACTACGTGTATAACCATTTGCGTTTACATCAAAGGGTCTACAATAATTTGTTGATGACAAAACACCTACAATCAAACATGTTACATATGAGAAAATGCAATTTTAGAATATATCTGCATTCTGTTTTTGTATACATATTAGAAAAATAAGTAATTTTATTGATATTACCAAGGCGAAAAAATTGTACATTCATTGTCAGATTTAGACACAAATTTCCAGCGGCAACAATAGCCTCCTCGCATCTACCAGATAAAATGTAATTAAATGCAACTGCTATAGCATAAAGACTAGAACTACAAGCTGAATCAACTACATTAGATGGTCCTTTCAAATCCAGCCAATAAGAAATGAAGTTTGCTATTGAAGCTTTACAAGAGTTAATAAGATTCACACCATTGACCTAATTGTAAAATGTAGTTTTTAGACAGTATTATTGTCAGAAAAGTATAAATTAATAAATGTGTATTAACTGTTACATCAATCATTGTAAATATTTTTTACCTGCAAGTCTCGATATAAAAGTTCCTTTTGCGACTCAACAAAAGTTAGTCCTAAGATCGTAGCAATATTTTGTTTTCGTAGTGTCATTGGATTGATACCTGCGTCGACAATTGCTTCGAAAGTTTGCTCCAATAATCTTCTCAGTAATGGATCAATTGTATTAGCTTGAATATCACACATTTCAAAAAATTCCGCGTCAAATTTATTTAAATTGTTTATTATTCCCATACGTTTTGGTAAGTCCGAATGCTCTGTAACAGATGATACAATGCCATAGCAGTGATATTAATTTATGTAGGGTAAACTGTCCAATAAGTTATCGCTTACTAATAAATGACTATAACACAACAATTATAGGCTTAAAAAATTATAGGCTTAAAACTTATTAAATGGTTATAACCAAAGTTTATTTATCTTTCAAAATTTCTTATTTTTTGGTTTAACGGGGATATGCGAACAGTAAAAGATCAAATTCTTATTAAAATTAAGTATGGGTGCGGTCATTTATTAGGTTTATATCCTTGTATAATATGCTTGTACTGAGTTTTGCACTTTATGTTGCGCTTTATAATTAAGTTATAATTACTTACACTAGAAAAAAGTAATTACTTTTATAAATATCTAAAAGCAAACATTAATTATAAATGTAATTTTAACAGTTGTTTTATTGTTATAAGTAAATTTATTCAAGGATTATCGCTAAACGTATATAGATTCACCAATTCAGTCATTTACTGGTTGATTTCCGAGTTCCAAAAGCTACAATGTTGCAGCAATGTTGCAATATTACAAAATTGCAATGCAACATTACGAGGAAACATTAGAAGAAATATAACTTAACAAAATAAGAAATATACAATAATTTAAATGCTCGTGAGAATTTACAACAAAGTATTAAGAGTCGATACAAATCTATATTTTAGATGTATAAGTATTAATTTTTTCTATTCAAACGTGTAAATTAATACATAAAGAAAGTCGAATTAAATTGAATTTGAAACTTCACGTAGAATGTTCGGTTCGCATCACATATGTATATGAGTAAACTATCCTATTTATCTCCCAATTAAAAACTCCATTACAAAAAAGACATCTTTGAAATGAGATTTGTTGCATTCCACGCAGGCGCGATAACTTTGTTGTAAATTCTCTTGAGCACTTAAATTGTTGTTGTAATTTACGCAGATTGAAAATTACACATAAAGTAATATACTTATATTTGCATATACATCTGGCATGTAGACTCGTATCAATCCCTAATATTTTGTTGCAAGAAGAAATAAAAAAATAAATATAATTTATCAGTAGTAGAAACTTAACATAATAACTGCAAGATATTAGCAATATAATATTAAGATTTCACAAATTATATAAAAATATAATCCTATAAGTCTAAAAGTTTTACTATATATAATACTGTAGTATT